GGGTCAAAAAGCATGATAAAGGCACAAGCTTCAGCCAGGGGCCTGCCATACTATTGGTAAGTGTGTGCAGATCCCAGGAAGCAGCTGTGTGGACCAGAGATGTGCAGCTGCAGGCCGATCCCGGCCAGGGCTCCACCCTGACCACAGAGGCTTGGGCACACTCGCCCAAGCCAAAGGCCCACCCAGAAAAGACCTGCACAGGCACACAAGCTTCAGCCAGAAGCCCACCATACCATCAGCCGCAGCCAAGGGTCTGCCTGGAAAACAGCTACTCAGGCACAAAATTGAGCATCTGAAATGAAGAGACATTTCTCAGACAAAGAAGTAGAAATAGCCAATAAACATATGAAAAAATGTTCAACATCACTGGTCATTCCAGAAAGAATGGCTGCTATCAAGAAATCAACCAATAACAAATGCTGGCGGGTCTGTGGAGAAAGAGGAACCTTGATCCACTGCTGGTGGGAGTGTAGGCTGGTTCAATCACTGTGGAGATCAGTATGGAGATACCTCAAAGAACTGGGATTAGAAGTCCCATTTGACCCAGCTATTCCCCTGCTGGGGATCTTCCCCAAGGAATTAAAAGTATCATCCCATAGTGATATATGTGCACCTATGTTCACAATGAACTATAGTTGATACATTATCATGAAGTGAAGCCAGTACTTTATTCAGATATCCTTGATTTTATCTCAGGTCTCTGTTTCTGCTCCAGGATCTCATCTAGAATACCACGTTGCATTTAGTTGTCATGATCCCTTTGGCTCTTCTTGCTGTAATGGTTGTCTCTCTTTTTATAACAATTCTTTTGGCTTATTCACTATTGTGATTATGAAATGAATTCATGGATAATACATGCACACATAATTTAAAAATCAATACAATGACCTAAATGATAACAGAGGGGAAATAAAAGTAGTGCCATACATAATTAATGTGCATTTGCTTTTATAAATGTTCAGTCAGAACTACACTAGATGTCATAAAGAAGTAGTCAGATATTTGTTCCTTCTTATAATTCTAGAACAGACAGAAGACCGAGACTCTGGAATAGTATTGACACTTTTTCTTCATTTTTGACATTTTGAAACAAGAGCTAAATAAATATACTCATATACACATATGGAATTACTAGCGCTGTGGCAGTTATACATGCGATAGGAGCAGATGTGTTGATTGCTGACTCAGATGCCATGAGTGGAATTGGCTCAGTTTCCTGGTTTTCTAAAATGGAAAACAGTACCATCTTTCTTAGACTTATACGATAGTTGTATTCCCAAAAAATTTTGTGTGTATTCAAAAGGTGCAAATATATTTTGTATTTACATGGAAAACAGAATTAAAGTTCTAATGTAATTAGAAGCACATTTTAACAGAACCAAAGATGGAGTCTGACATATAAAGGCCATGTGAGACACAATGTCCTGCATTCCAGGCCTCCCCCACTAAAGGCCAGTGGCCCCCTCCTTCCATCATTATAACCAATGCAGTTTTCTAAAACACCTCCCAGGGGGCAGTACTGCTGTGGATTGTGGTGCTAGAAAGAGCATAACAGGAAGCCTTGGTTCCTTTTTTGTAAAGTGAGTTCAGCAGTTGGCTGAGTCTGATACACATTGCATGTAAAAATACAGCAAGAAGCCTGGCACGTGGTATGTCCTCCAAGAATGTGAGCTAAAGCCTGGCATGGTGGCCCATGCCTGTAATCTCACCCTTCTAAAAGGCTGAGGCAGGAGGACCACAAGTTTGAGCTCAACCCGGGCAATTTAGTGAGACACTGTCTCAAATTAAAAAACAACAACAACAAACATTGGGGATGTATAGTTCAGTGCAAAAACCCTGGGTTCACTCCCCAGTACCAGGAAAAGCAAGCAAACAAAACAAAAATGTAAGTCAATATTATCTTTCAGTTAATCAGCAGTTTGTTTAGGGGAACACAGTGTCCTTGGTATCCAGGTAGGTGTGTGTGAGTATGGAATGCAGATCAGGCAAGCACATCATTCCTGCCCCACACATGAAACAAGCAGTGAATTATTAATCATTTACATTCTGAAAAGGGAGCTCCCAGGGGTGAGCCAGTCAGAGAAATTTTTCTGGAGGAGACAATAGCAGCGTATTCAATCAGGGCAGCAATAACATGAAGGAAAATATATTTACCCCATGAATAAAAAATGTCTCCTGGATGCTTCGCAAAATGTGGTCTTCAGATCAGTGGCACTGGCAGCACCTGGAGGTTCATTAGAAATGCAGAATCTCAGACTTACTGAATTAGACTCTGCAATTTTAACAAAAATCTTGGGTGTTCTTAGGAACAGCGAGAATGTGATACCTTACTTCACCTATCATAGGGGTTAGGGCTGACACTCCCATAACAAAAGACAGGTTAACAGGAGAAAAATATAACACAATGTATTTAATCAACACTTTACCTAACATAGGATTCTTCAGAAATGTAGACCCAAAGGTCCAGGGAAACTGTCCATTTTAGGCTTGGACTTGATGAGAATGGACAACCGTGTAGAAATGTGACTGCACAAAAGGATATGATCTAGTGGTAATGAACTGGGTGGGAAATGCAAGGCCTGTCCAGGGATTCTCCTTGGCTTCTCTGTGCTGCATTCTTATCTCCTGGGTACAAGGAAACACACCTTCTGGAAAGAGCAGGTCTTATGATCTGCTATCTGACAAGGTAGCTCAGAGAATATTCCTAGGTTTTATGGCTTGGCTTTGAAAGAGTGGAGAGGGGTTCCAGTTTCTATGAACCATTCTAGGGAAAGAAAAATTGTAATTCTGCAACTTACCCTAAAGGAGAAAGGGGAGCAGGAGAAAGAAGGGCAGGGGCAGCTCAGAAACATCTTGCTTTTGAAGCCCCTTCCCTCAAATTCAAAGGACTCAGCATGCCAAAGCACCATACTTTGGGATGTTGTGTTCTGAACCTCAACATATCCATGTGCACAGTCACATTTGAAATTCCCTGGACAGCAAAACCAGCTAAGGAACCACAAGAATGAACAATGATATGCTCTCCTTTGGTGAGCGTCTGCTATAGATCTTGAGGTGTGTGTGTGTGTGTGTGTTATGTGCAGCATGCATGGAAAAGATCAGAACAACAAGGTCCATGTTGTTGAAGGACTCACAATAGGTGGTTTCCGGTAGAATCTACTTCAGAATGTGGGAGTTGGGGGAGGAAAAGGGCGCTCCAACAAACATTCCTAGTCAGGACCTCAGGTCTATTGAATAACATTTTCGGAGAGCGAGGGAGGAGGAGCAGGTATTTAAATAAACAAACAAAAGGATGAATGATGGAGATGTAGCTCAGCTGTAAAGTGTGTGCTTAGCCCTGGCAGGGCCCTGAGTTCTGTCCTAGCTCATTAAAAAAAGCAAACCAAACGAAACCAAACCAATCAACCAACCAACCAGCCAACCAAAGAAACAAACAAACAAACAAAAAACACTAGACGGGAGAGGGAAGGAGCTTCACAAAATGCCGACGCTAAGATCTCAGCCCAGACCAGCCACAACAACGCTGATATCAAAACCTCTAGCGGTCCTGGAGGCCTGAGCATTTTTGTTCTTAGTCCCCAGGTGATTCTTGGAAAGACATTGACCTGAGGATCAAATGGGATAAACCTGGAGGGAGAAAAAAAAAATTCCATGTGGAGTGGAGTGGGGGTGGAGGGGTCTGCAAATGGGTGGATTGTCTGCTTTCGAGAACAGAATCAGGATTAACCAGTAGAAATTTTCATTTTTTTGCCAAGTAATCATTGTGTTTTTCTTTGTGGCAAGAAGGAACCTTTGAAATGACCTTGTTCAACTCCTTCAGTTTGTAGGCGAAGAAAAATTAGTGGTCAAAAGGGTAAAGAAAGCCAAAGTCAACTCAGATCTAATTCCAACCCAACAACTACTAAATAAAATGAGACCGTCTCATTTCTGGCGATGTTTCCACTGCACCACAAAGATATTTAAATCCTACCCTGATTTTGATCATTAGCAAAGCCGAGATGAGGAAAGAAACCGTTACTTTAAAAAAATAATAAAATAGGGTGGATTCTTTTAAATAAAGAATTGGCATTTTAGGGTACTCGAATTAAATTTAGAGACTGATGATATCCACCTAAAGATGAAATCTAGATTTTAGAGCTTGTATGTTGATCTCATTAAATGCAAGCTATATCTGTTAAACGGCCGGGTTTCTTTTGCACTTCTCTGGTTAGCCGCATTAGCCGGGTGTCGATCGCATTGGCCTCGCTGGGGAAAACCAGCCGGACAGCGCGAGGGTACGAGGTCTGTGCCCTTTAGAGACCTGGACATCGATAGCGCTGGGGCGAGCCGGGAGACGGTAGAGGAGGCTTCCATTTGAATCCTGCGGAACGATTTTGGTTGCCGACAGGGGCTCAGGAGCTGGAGGGAACGGCGTGGGAAAGGCTCAGGGAAGTCGCAACGGGGCAGCTGTGGGGTCCAAGCATCTTCTAGAGCGCCCCGCTGGTCCAACAGATACTCCATCCTTTGGCTAAGTTGATGATCCAGAGAAACTGGGAGGAGAGAGAGCTCTAGGCAGGCATGAGACCGACAGGCTGGGGAGGTGAACGTCGTCTTCTCTGGATCGTTGGTGAGAGTGGCAGCCCAGACAGGCAGAGACCTGGTACAGCCCCTGACGCCTGTACGGCTTCGGAAGAGAAAATGCCAAACGAGGGAAGCTGGCCACCCTCCCGCCCACGCGCGGCTGCTGCTTTTGTGGACCGCGGAGGAATCGGGTCAGAAGGGTCCCTTCTGGGGACCGCTGCGCGGGTGGGGCGTGGCGCCTGTCACGCCCTCGCCGAGCCCTGCCCTGGCCGCCTGCTGAGCCCCCCACCCTCAACAGGCCCCCAGTCTCCGCAGATCTGGCCCAATCCGGTGTCTTCAGCTCCACCGCCTGGGCGTGCGGCCCGCGTGCCTCCGGGCGGGTCCCTTCCGCCCGCACCTGCCCCCGGGGGCGGAGCGCGCGGGGACCGCGCGGCCCCAGCCTCCTCCAACGGCCGCGCCAGCCGAGCCGCGCCGGACCTGCCCCGGCCCCGCCCCCGTGCACCTCCACTCCACCGCGGCTGCCCTCTCTGCCTCCCTCTCCTCCGTCCGTCAGTCCATCCCTCCGCCTGGCGGATCCGCGGCGCCTCCCACTTCGGACTCGAGTCCCAGCCGCTGGGATCTGGAGCCCCGCGCCATGAAGCCGGCCTCGGGCAACGAGCGCAGCAGCCCCCCGGGCCCCGCGGTCCCGCCGCCGCCCCGGGGTCACGCTCCCTCGGCTACCGCCCGCAGCCCGGGCCCGCTGAACTCCCCGGAGCGCGAACCCGCGGAGGAGCGGCAGCTGAGGATCAGCGAGAGCGGCCAGTTCAGCGACGGGCTGGAGGACCGAGGTGAGCGGCGCGCCCCCGGCCCCCGAGTCCCTTCCCCGCGCAGAGCGCGCCTCTCCCTGCTCACGGGCTGGACCTGCCGGCCGGGGGAAGCGGGGCGCGGAGCCAGGGCTTCCCTGGGACGGGACGACGGCGAGCAGAGGGCGCAACTCCCGGGTCAGCAGCGGCTCCGGACCCGGGGAAACCGGCTGCTCCGAGCCAGCCCGGCCTGGGCCCGCGCCCTCCTCCTGGCCAGCCCCAGCCCCAGCCCCAGCCCCAGCCGCTCAGCGCCCACTGGAAAAGTTTGAGGGAGCCGGGATTTTTTGCCTTTGGTGTGGAGCGCTCCTGGGGACTGCGGTCCCCGCGCAGCTCAGAGGGTCCAGGTTTGATGAGTTCCCTTTGGGTTCCTCTGCTATTCCCCGCCAGCTACAGGGAAAACTTCCCTCCGTGGGCTTAGCCTGGAAGTGTTTCTCGGTGGGTTCCGGGGCTGACAGTGCAACCAGCGCAACCCAGGGTACAATAAAAGGAAAGAGCCAGGGCCTGGGATGCTGCTGGACTCTGGTCCTCACCGGAGTCTCGGATTTCAGTGGTCCCTGCCGGGCTGTCTGATGCTGGAGGCTGAGTGCTAGGGCATTAGAGTTGACGCCACCAAGGATGGATGTCACTGAAACCTGGTAGTTCCCGGAGAGTGCATCTCCAGACCCTCTGGAATCCCTCCCTGGACACTGGCATTGTATCCTGCAAGTGTCGTCCCTGAAGGGGCCGAACTCTACCTCAGACCTACAGCCGGTTGCCCTCTTCCAGTGGTCTGCGCGGAAGGGAACGGGAGGACTTCCCTGTTTGTTGCCGAGTTTCCCTCCTGCTCCTTATCCACCCCTCTCTCGTTTCCTTTGGCTTGAATTCCTTGAGGAAGGAACCCTGTTCCTGGCCAAGACGACATCCTTTCAGCTTCTTGCTGCTGCTAAGTGGGACTCCTGGAAAAGAATTAGTGGTTATGCTAAAACCCTTGGTGGCCCAAGCAGGATCCTAGAAGCCAGGCCCTTCACCAGGAGCCGGCTTTTTGCACCTCCGCCCCCTTTTCGTGGAAGCTTTTTTGTCAGCTGTGGAGGGTTTATGTATTTTAGTCTTAGCAGGTTTTTGTCCTATTCTTAGTATCTCCTGTACATTTTTATTCCGGCTTCGTGTTTGGATTCACGATGTCTTTCTCCTTAGAAATTTAAACTGTAGCATGTGAAATAGAATGACATGGAAACAGCGATTCCGATTCCCAGAGAGTCGGAGGAGATGCTCTCAGGAAACTGGAGCTGTTCCAGTTGCAACGAGTTCTCTACCCGTGTTGCAGTTTCTCCCCCTTTTCTCACACAACTAGATACCCTTTGAGAGCCCGTAGTGGGTGACATCGACCCCACCCAGCAAAACCTGTCACTTTATATGGGGTGTGTTAATTACCCTTGCCCGCCCTGTAACCAGTATTGTAAGATTTTAAACATTTATACTGAAGAAAGACACAAGCCTGGGTTGGATTTAATTTTGCAGCATTGCGGGTCATCTGTAAGACCTGGCCTGTCTCACCACAAAATGACAGGAGGGAAAAAAAGTGCTAGAGTGAGTTAATATTCAGCATTTCTTTGCAGCTCATGGTCAAGTGTAAAAAGCTCTTCTGAATTATTCTTGAGGTTATTCACCAGTGCTCAACTGAATTTCATTTTCCATTATATTGTAGCCTGAAAGCATTTGCTGTTCATGAACCATCACTGTGTGAAAGCGTTGCATGTCACACACAGCATCCCTGTTAGGGTGAGTTCTGTCCCCCAAAGAACCCGGAGCCATGTGCCATTGAGAGCCAGCTGAAAGTCAGTGTGACATTCTTTTGTTTGACGCATTCCTGATGGCAAAGAGTTAATAATAAATGAATCATTTTGTTCAAATAAATCAGAAGGTTACCTGGAGAGATTTATTATAATATTTTGTGTTTGTGCTTTTTTTCTTGTATTGATTTTTGTACCTCTTGAGAAGGGTTCCAGTGCTTTGACCTCTTTCCGAGTGGTGAGAACAATTGAAGGAAGAGTAAACCTTGGCGGTTGCCTGTGGTGTAGCTCTTTCATCTGGTTCTGCCTGTCCTGCCGCGCTGGCTTTCTTCTAGGCCTAAATACCTATAGTGTGTGGGGGGATGAGGACTCTTGATATATACCTACTTACCATTTTCTTTTGTCCTAACTTCCTTCTGAGCTATTAGGACTCCAGTCACAGGGTTGCTTTATATTCTGGTGTTTGGGGATTTTGGAGCCATTTTTCTCTTAGAAATGACTTGAACTGATTCTCAGAAACCTTGCAAGCTTGGAATGTCAGTAACTACAGTGCCATTTGGTTGATCCTGTACTTCAGGGAGCAAGAGCTCTGCGGTTGGACTTTCAGGGATGAAAAACAAAAAACAAACCAAGTTTACCTTAGGCATTACATCCACCCCTTTTATGCCCACTTTCCTCCCCATAAGTGTTTCCCGTTATTCTGTCTCAAACCTTAGGTGCCACTTAGCTTTGAGAGTGACAGACTTCAGCATTTCCCAGTAGCTCTCCATCTAATAAAAATTCTTCTTCCTGCAGAGAATTAAAGCTAGGAGAAAGCAATGGGGATTAATTTGTACTAGTCTGGGAATGACTGATGGCCTAAACCTCCCCACATATATTTGCTTCTGCCTCCCTATCTCCTCCAAATAAGGAATTAGTAGTTCATTAATATAAGTTTGTGCTTAGTTTTGCCAGGTTCAAATTACAAGTATGTGAAATTCCAGCGAGGTTAGAAATTCAAATGTGGAGGTCAGCTATGGTAGGGAGGATCTGGCCCTGGATATAAACATGAGTCCTAACTTAACTTTGCTGGGCTGTTTTGCCTCTCCAGGTCACCTTGCTTCCACCTCTGCAGCACAGCTACCTGCAAACTTTAGGAAACTTCACCCCATCTTTGTGGCTTGTGCATATGCATGCACCTGTCACAGGTGTAGTGTCACTTGGTTGTGGTCCATTCATTTAAGATCTGGATCTTTGGTGGTGATCATACTCTACTTCCCTTTGAGGAGTAGAAAGTGTTCTATTTTTGGTATTGGCCACATTTTTTTTTAGTGAATAGAAATGAGGAAGTCCTTCATTTTTTGGATAGTGCATCCTTTGCAGTTATTTTTTTTTTTTAATTTTAAAATTTCGTAGGGGAGACACATTGAGGATCAGATCTGGGGAGGAGCCTCTGTTCTACTACTGAGTGTCTCAAAGTGTAGCTCCCATGGCTGCCAGCCAAACCCCTGCCTGGACTGCTGACCCAGAGTGGGTGAGGCACATGGGTGGGCTCAGATGCATGGTCAGGACAAGGTGTATCTTGAAATCAGCTGGCTTTGGAAGGAAAAAGAAATGTTATGTGGCAGAAGAGAAGGCCTAGGTCACGGTTATCCTTCATGGAAAATTAAATCTATTTCTAAAAGAAACCGTGTAGATAAACCTCCCCCTCTTGAAATTATTGCAATCAAAATACCTTGCAAATGAACTGCTTGTTTGAGTCTATAGTTAAATGTTGTAACTTTGCTTCTGAAGATCAGTTGGTCAGAATGAGAGGATGATTTTTTTTATCATTTGGAAAAAGGAAAATAAATGATTGGGGTGTATGGGATCTGCTCATTCTAGGTTATGCCTCTACCTGAACAGGAGGGTTATGGTAGTTAAAAATTAGAATGAGATATTTTTCAGTAGCTAAGGAAGAAGCAAACAAAGGGACCTGCTGTGTTTTCATTTGAAATCATCTGTACCTAGGGTAGAATGAGACAGATAAGTTTGTCTTTTTGTCCACCTGAGTGTATGCATGAAGGAAGATTTGGGGAGACTTTTACAGTCAGAAGATAGAGATGGTGTTATACTTACTATTTGCATTTTCATCTACATCTACTATTGGTTCCAACCTAAGCCCACAGATTTTGATCAGTTAAAAATCTCCAGGGCTGTGACCTGGACTTACTAAGCCCATGTTCCTACTGGTGTATTAGGAATGTGCTCAGAGATGTTTGGGCCTGGGTAATAGACAGAGCTGAGAAGTTTCAGCAGGATCCTTGTTATGGTTTTTAAACAGGATGCAGTTTTTGGCAGTGTTGGTGCTCAGAAGATAATCCTCCAAAGTAATGCACTTTGGCATGCAGGGTACTCTGCATTGAAGGACATTGGAGGGGTTCAGAAGCAATGTATCTTCTGACCTTTTGATTTCCTTTCTCTTGCTCTCCCTTCTCTCCCAAGTAGTTCATGTAAACTAGAATTTTTCTTCTCCTACTAGGTAGGTCATAGAAACTAGAACCTCTCTCCCTATAGCCAACCTGGAAATATTACTCTGACCTCCTCATCCTTTCTGTGTCACAGCTGGTCATAGAGAAATTTTCTGACCTACCTTGTCTGGTAGTTGATCATAAGACTATTCCGAAAGGGATCTTGACTTCTACCCAAGAGAAAAGAATACCACACAGACACCAAAACAAATCTAACAGACAGGCAAGCCTTGCCGAGTTTCTCTTCTCAGTGTGTTACCATTAGCTCATACCCCTTTGTCCAATCACACTTTTACACACTTCTCTATTTTTCATCAAATCTATGCATAAAAATAAGACAGGTTTCTATGAGTCTTTGGGTTTTCATTTTGGAAGGCTCACATGTTACACTGAACTCTGATTAAATACATTGGTCATGCTTTCTCTCCTCTTAACTTGTCTTTTGTTGTAGGTGTGTTGACTATGTCCCTTATAGGTAAGGAAAGGTACCACACCCTTTCCACCGCTATACCAACTATAGACTTCTGTGGTAACCAGTCAGACAAATGAGATGATGGATAGGTGGATGTTTTTCAGATGAGCACTTAAACTTGGCTGCAAGATCCTTCATTATTTGGGTATGATGAGGCTGCTCAGCCTCTGAAGGGACTATTCAGGGATGTTCAGCCAAAGCTGGTATAATAAGCTTCTGTTTATACAGAGCACATGACTGAAAATTTGATTCTCTGTGCAACTAAGAGATGCCAGGTATGATTTATTTTCAAAGGAGAAGAAAGAAATATAAATTAAGATCATACTGAAGATGTTTTAATCTTTGGCCCCAGGGGGTGGAAGCTTGAGTATTGCCTAGAAGTTGTATTTTTCTATCATTGTCAAGAACTCTCAATGTGCAGAGAATAGGAGACAAATATAAAACCTGTCCTACACATGGCCTACCTAGGAGCTACCTCTGCTTTTAGCAGGTTTACTCTGCTTTAATATTCCAAGAAGTTTTTGATGAGTGCTGGTATAAAGGGAGGAGAGAAGAAAACATGGCATCTAATTTGGGCCTTGTGGCTGTTGTTGGTTGTGGTTGAAGAGAAATGGTCCACTTCTTCCTGTTAGTTGCCAGGGGTCAGAGAAAGGGTTTGTAGTCTATGATTCCTTGCTTTGGGAATTGTTAAGGCTGTGCTGGTGGATCCAGGCCAATCAGTGCCCACAGCTGATTGGCTCAAAGCTCTACTGAGTGCCATGCTCTTTTCCTAATGGAAGGGCCTTCTTGGATGGAGCAGCATCTACCTGAGGCAAATGACAGCACAGGGGCAAGAGACTGGCCTGGTGTGACATGTCAGGGAGTAGTGGGGTCTGTGGAGTTCTAAAGAGGCCAGCTGCTGTCACCCTGCAGAAATATATGGCCCATATTACCAGAACCTGTGATTTTTTTTTTTTTGGTACTGGGGATCGAACTCAGGACCTTGTGCATGTGAGGCAGGCGGTGGAACCACTGAGCTAAATCTTCGGCCCCTAGAACATGTGATTTTTTTAAAAAAGAGATTCCAGAAAACTTCATTTTCATGTGAAATCTTCTAATTGTGAAAACACAGTGTGGGCCAAACAAAACATATCTTAGTTCATGGGCTTTCAGTTTGCAATCTTTGGATAAGAAATTGTAACTCTGGCTGTGTGTTTCTTAATAAGGAAATGCCTAAATTCCTTTTCTCCTTGTTTTTGTCAGGCTTGCTAGAAAGCAGCACCCGGCTGAAGCCTCATGAAGCCCAGAACTACAGAAAGAAGGCATTGTGGGTGTCTTGGTTCTCCATTATTGTAACACTGGCCCTTGCCGTGGCTGCCTTCAGTGAGTATCAGGAGTCTTGCTAATCAATATACGCCAGTGTTTCCTGTCTTATTCTCTAACCCCTCTAGGATATGCTCTTGCTTTTAGTTGACTATTATTGATGAGTAAATTTTTTAGGTGGTTGGATAGTCAGGGTACTTATAAATTAGTAAAATGGCTTCTCTACAGAAAGAAGAGGTATTATGAAAAAGAAATGGAGAGCAGTACTGAGAGCTTTGGCTCTCATCAATATGCAGGTTTGTGGAAGTAGATTCTGGTTGCCAGATGAACAGTGGAAATATTCTCTTGGTGGGTGCCTTCAGCTTGAGCTGACATGTGATAAGTACATATCCTTGAGATTTGTATTTTGAGCCTAATGCAACAAGATGAGTGCAGTATTGCAGTGAGCCTTCTCCTTTCCCCCGATTATATCTTGTGTAAGGTTTGGAATAAAATCATATGTACATTTTAATGTAAGAAAAATGGAATTATTTTCTTTCAAGTTTTTAGAGGCCACAGAAATAAAATCATTTATTATAGTCAAGAAAAACTATTAAAGTGGAATAATTTCTGCCTGTAGACAATCCTGTTTGAGGATTAGGAAGCCCCATAGCATGTGTTTTCTCAGCCAACATTTGCAGCCTATGGAAATAAGCATGAGCTATTTATTCTTATTAACGGTGCAATGATTCATAAGCCTAAGCAATGACAGTTACAGCTCAACCTTGGTAGAAATCTTTTTTTTTTTTAAATGCTGGGCTAAAGGGGAATTTTTCTGTGCATTTGTGGTAAATTTATTACCTAACAGAAAACTATGTATTCTAAGTAGTAAGCATCATGTAAGGTGTCTCAGAGTAAGAGGAAAAAAAGACTTGTCTATTAGAAGATATAACTATGTTTGTGTTGTTTAAAATTCTATTCTGCCAGGTTGGCCCTGCTGCTGGAAGTTGGGATTGGGTCCCAAGAGGGAAGATTAGAATTCGGCCAAATGCTTCCTACAAAACTAGGCATATATTACTTGAAGCAATTTATATTGGAAATACTGTGCCATATCTTGGCTCTAAAAAGCCAAATATTTTGTTTTACCAAACGTCATGCAGAGGGTAACGTGTTTCAGGAAATAAACAGAAATCTAATCAAGGGGAATTCTGATTCCTGAAAATACCTACTTCCCCTCCCCTCCCCCTCTTACTTAATGGCTGAAACAAGAATAACAAGCCCCTTGATGTCCCTTGAGGGTAATTTGGTTGTGGTGGCTGGTGGGGACTGTGGATCAGACATTGTAATTTACATAAATAAAGAAAGAGAAATGGGATGGAGATGATTTACAAACAGAATAATAGTTACTCAGACATGTCCATGTGCCCAGTAAAGCCCTTATGACTTTATTGTGTGCGTGTTTGAATAAAGACCTAGGTATGAAGAATTATGAGCAAGCCTTTCCTTTAGGAGAATAATGTAACATTTATGTACTTAAATCTCATAATAGGGAAAAAAATATGAGGAAATTTTGGTTTCACACATTATGCCTAATCAATTGGGTTATCTTTAAAATATTGTTCCATTTCCTTTAATAGGAAAGGATTTGCAAAACGTGTAGAATTAGAATGTTGCTTTTTGTAAGGCTTTCCTTTTCTTTAAAAAATGATTTTACCCCCTTATTGCAGCAAGTATTTAATTTTAATTTTTATTTTTTGGGGGTACCGGGGATCGAACTCAGGACCTCGTGCTTACAAGGCAGGCGCCAGAACCACTGAGCTAAATCCCCAGCCCTTTGCAAATATTTAATTTAAATCCTCTAACTTCTTGCCTATAAAATGTGGACATTATGATGTAATTTCATAATGTATAGTCCATTCAGTTCTTTTTCAAGTTGCTTTCCACTTATTCTGGTTTAGTTAAACTAAAATATGTAGAAGATGAGTTAAATTTTCTTTTTCTGGCTTAACTATCGAGTAGCTTCATTTTGAGAGAGTGTGTGTGTTTTGTATGTTAAACCCCTGGGCTGGTCTCTGTGTTGTTAGGATTGTTGGTGTTACTCTGTAGTCTCCTAAATATATTTATAATATGAAATATTTAAAATCCTTACTAAAGTGTCAATTTACTTGTTACAGACTTTTGTATCATTCTTTTTAATAGTTTTCATGGAAAGAAAATAAGTAGAGATTAAGCAATATAAGCTGACTTTTGAAGTTGTGTTTAAATTGGTGTCTAAAGGAAAACTATACATTTCAGAAATGGCAATAAAGTTTTAAAAAGTGTTACCCCCCACCCCCAGCCTTACTCTTTAAGGAGGTGGTTGACAGAGGGAGAGGTGGATAAAATAGAAAACTCTGTCTTGGTAAACTGCTGTCTTATCCAGGGAAACTGTCAGGTTGAACCAGTTAGTATTTTTAAGAGAACTGCTTACAGAATTACTATAGGTGATGCTTTGGTGTTTCAGAGGTCTTTGGAGTATGTGCGCCTGTGTGTGTGTGTGTGTGTGTGTGTGTGTGTGTGTGTGTGTTTGTGTCTGGGGGGTGTTAATCATGGTAAAAAGAAGTAGACTGTATTTGTTGTCATGTCTTTTGCCACTGTTGGATGGTAAAAAAATTGGAGGCAAGCAGAGTACTCATCTTTGCTTGGAGCTGGTCTTGAAGATTGTTGAATGAATTAACTGAGAGAGATTTTTAAAAACTTTTACAAAAGATATTAGGTGTTAGGAAAATATTTTTTTTGGAAAATGGTAGCTGGGTGTGATGGTGCACACCTGTAATCCCAGCACTGGGGAGGCTGAGACAGGAGGATTTCTGTGAGGGCTAGGCTAGCCTGGATTACATAGTAAATCCAAGGCCAACCTGAACTACATAGTGAGATCCTGTCTCAAAAATGAACAAACAAACAAAATAACAAATTTCCCCTGCTCAGTTAGATACCAGGCTTAGATTTCACTTATTTTAACAACAGCTACAATTTTGGGAGACCATCTATCTTACCATCTTTATGGACATGCCTTATTCAGGGCAGTACCTGGGAGATGAACGTCCCAAATCAGTTGAAATTTCCCATCATCACCTACTCAACTGCCATTTTCTATTTTTTTCCTTTCCTTTGATTAATTAGGTCTCCTTCACTGTGTCTTTATTTTTTTCCCTTAAATTCTTTTATTGGTACATTTTAGATATATAATACATTTACATTTATCATTGGGTGCTTGTACCTGTACATGATGTATCTTGGTTCTTATTTATTCCCCATTCCCTGTGCTCCCTTTACCCCCTCTGCCCTTCCCTATTTACAAAGACTTTGTTTCCATTTTTTCCTCTTCTCATAATTTTTCCTTTCCCTTCTTTCCTTTCCCCTTCCCCTCCCATTTTCCCTACCCCTTTGGACCTTTTCTTCCTATTTCAAATTATCAATTATTCATTTTAATCCTTATTTACACTTTCAGTTTCTCACACCAGGGAAACTATTCAGTATTTACATGTGTGTCCTATTTATTTCACTTAAGAGTATGGCCTCAATATGCATCCATTTAACTATAAATGTCTCTAGTTTCTCATTCGTTATGGCTGAGTAGTACTCCATTTTATTAAAAAACCCCACATCTTCTTTATTCAGTTTCCAGTTGATGGGCACTTGGGCTGTTTCCAGGCTTTAGCTGTTATGAAATGTGCCGCTATAAACATGGGTGCACATATATTGCTGTGGTATGATTCTTTTAATTCTTTGGGGAAGATACCCAGCAAGGGAATAGCTTGGTCAAATGGGACCTCTAGTCCTAGTTCTTTGAGGTATCTCCATACGGATTTCCACAGTGGTTGCACCAGTCTGCACTCCCAACAATGGAGAAGGGTTCCTTTCTCCCCACAGCCCAGCCAATATTTGTTATTGGTTGATTTCTTGATAGTTCTGGGGTGAGGTGGAATCTCACTATTGTTTTTATCTGCATCTCTCGAATGACTAGTGATGTTGAACATTTTTTCGTATGTTTATTTGCTGCTTTTACTTCTTTGTCTGAGAAATGTCTGTTCATTTCAGATGGCCAGTTTTAAATTGGGTCTTTAAATTTGGGGTGGGTCTGATTTTTTTCAGTTCTTTGTATCTTCTAGATAGTAGCCCTTTGCCTGAGTTACAGCTGCTAAAATTCTTTTCCCACATTGTAGGTTGTTTGTTAGCTCTGCTGGTGGTTTCTCTTGCAGTGCAGAAGCTTTTTAATAAGATGAGATCCCAGTTGTTGATTCTTTCTGCTAGTTCCCGTGCTATTGAGGTTTTGTTCATAAAGTCTTTTCCTATGCCAATACCTTCAAGAGTTCTATCTAAATTATCTTTCAGCAAGTTTAGTCTTTCTGACTTAGTATTTAGATCTTTAATCCACTTCGATCTTAGTTTAGTTCATGGTGATAGATATGGGTCTAGTTTTAATCTCTGGCAGGTTGAAATCCAGTTTTTCCAACACGATTTATTAAATAGGCTATCTTTCCTCCAATGAGGGTGATTGGGTCCTTTGTCAAAGATGAGGTGGCCGAGTGTGTCTGGAATTGTTTCTGCATCTTCTAATCTATTCCACTGATCCTTGGGTCTGTTTCTTTGCCAGTACCATGCTGTTTTTATCACAGTAGCTTTGTAGTATAGTTTCAAGTTGGGGATTGTGATACCCCCTGCCATGTCTTTGTTGCCTAGCATTGCTTTTGCTATTCTAGGTCTCTTCTGGTTCCAAACGAATTTTTGGATTGTTTTCTCTAGTTCTGTGAAATATATTGTTGGAATTTCAGTCAGCATTGAATTAAATCTATATAGCAGTTTTGGAAGTATGGCCATTTTCACGATATTGGTTCTTCCTACCCAGGAGCAAGGGATGTCTTTCCATTTTCTTATATCCTCTTCGATCTCTTTTCAGACTGCAGTAGTTTTCGGTGTAGAGGTCTTTCGCTTCCTTTGTTAGATTGATTCCTAGTTATTTCTTTTTTTTGGATGCTATTGTAACATTTTCTATTTTTTTCGTAGGTGTTTTCTATAGGCTATGTCCCCTCAAGCCATTA